ATGTATACACTAGTAGTGGAATAGTTTGAATTGAAGCATATTATTACAAGAAATCCAGGTTGCAAGCCATCAAGACGCTATAGACAAAACTCAAAAACAATAGAGCTAAATTTCAGGTTTTGATCACTTCTATATATACCTATGAATGCCTTCCAAATTTTTAAAGTTAAAACAACAACAGTTTCTAGTCAGTCAAAAACTAAATCAGCTCGAAAATATTGGTTTTGTTTTTCATGATAATCGATGCAAAAGTGGCCATGAAGCTCAGTCCCACCCATTTGGATGCCAGGTCTGTGGGCGCCGGGTCTTCGGGTGTCGGGTCTGCGACTTCGGCTTGCACAATCCCATAAAAAACTGATGTGCTTTTTGGGGAGGATAAAAACTCTCCCATCATCCAACCTTCTTACGGTGAGCTCCTACGCCCCCAGCCAAAGATCTTTGTAACGAAGAGAATGGGATTCCAAAATCCCATGCCAAACTTCCTTGGCCTTGAATTTCCAAAAGATTCTAACCCATAGGTCATGCTAGTATTGGGATTGGTCCATTCTCTATTTCCCCAATATTCTGAAAAGAGACTTTTGTGCTCATTTTTAGTGAACCTCATAAAACAATTGTCAAATTCTAAGGAGATCTAATGGCGCTATCCTGCTCTCTTCCTAACTCAACCCTTTCTTTTTTTGAGAGTTGAGACTATATTTCTACTGCTCCGTAGTGTGATTTATGCGGCAAGCGGCGTGAGATGCTTCTGCGCCGAAGCGGCATGAGATGCTTCTGCGGCGATGCAACCTGAGATACTTCTGGGGCGGCGTGAGATGCTTCTGCGGCGAAGCGGATGATTTATTTTTCTAACGTACGATCTCCGCGCACTACCCATATTGCTAGGCGCGCCGGTCTTTCTCCAAGCCTGGACAATTTTGTCCTGCTCCGTATTAACACTTACCAGTAGCGTAGCTTTTAAGTTTAATGAAAGATTTCAGCATAGCTTCCATAAGAGATACAGTCGGCCCCTTCTATTTGATTTTGTGAAACTTATTGTAAAAATCATCCTTTTATTTTAAACATAATTATATGTGTCATATTCTTGTTAAAATAATTCAAATTATGTATTAGGGAAAAAATCGTTTTCTCTCTAGGTTTTCCTAGGTCTTTTCGGCGGCGGCCATCGGCTGTGGGTTCGGCGGCTTCGACCGGGTTTTTCTGGAGGCAGCCTTGGGATGTAGGTTCGGCGGCTTCAGCAGAGTTTTCCGGCAGCGGCTTTCGGCTGTGGGTTCGGCGGCTTCAGCCGAGTTTTCCTGATCTGACGTTTGGTGCTTCTCTTTCGGCTTGGCTTTTGGGCAGGAGTTTACGCCGACACGGATTGAAGGTTCCTATTGATTGCAGATTTTATTTGGGTGCAAGGCAGCTTTGTTGATTTGGACAGGGGCGCTTCTGAAGACGATTGCAGATGGAGATGGCTGGCGTTGGTAAGCAGGGGATTGGCGATGGCGCAGATACGGAGAGCCGAGCAGTGATTGGTGCATCAACAATAGTCCCGAGGGTCAGGCCTCCTCCAGAACCACTGCCAAGGGTTGATCGACACGCTTTGGAGTTTGCTTATATTTTACCTTTTATGCAGTTTAATTTCCAGGTTTAAGACGTTTGTGTCTTTTTGTTATTTTATTTCATGCTGTAAGACTCTTGCATTAGGTTTGGGTTTTGAAAGTTCTACGATAATCGTCATTGGCTTTAAGTTGCCCAATCTCAGTCTAGCGAGTTATACTACTTTCTTACAGGTGGTTAACTCTCAGTCTCGGCCACGGGTGGATGATTACATGTGGTTCTTTTATTATCTTGTGCCCTTGCTGAATGCTATTTCTATGAATTAAGACACCTTCGATCAAAATAATAATAATTATATGTGTCATAGTATAATTATATTAATAAATTTTATTTTATCTAACATGTAAATTTTAGATTATGGCAAAATCTTGATACATAATTATGAATATAAACTTCTAATTATTAATACATTAATAAATAAAATGTAGTCAATGTAGAACATATGAATAGTTTAAAATTCAATATGTCTCATTTATTTAAGAACATGAAGTATGTATACTTCACATATCAATTCTATCTTCTTATAAATTAATGTCTCCAATATATACTTTAGAATGTTAGATTATTATATTTCATAGTTATCTAAGTTTTTAATTACTCCCTCCGTCCCCTTATATTGTCCCGTTTTACCTTTCCGGAAAGTCCCACTAAAATTGTCTCATACCATATTTGGTAAAGTTTGGGTGACTCAAAATCATTCTTACTTTATTCTTACTTTATCAATTAATATCAACCACATAAACTCACTTTCCTTAAAAATCGTGCCACCCTCTTCCGTCCCAATATAAAAGGGACGAAGGTAGTATTAAATTTAATCAAAGGGGGTTTGGTGTAAGTTTTTTATGTCTTAAATGTTTGAATTTCTAGTTTTAGCTTATTAAGAACTAATATCAAAATATTGACCACATTTCAAATTAACATTTGTTTGGTGCTTTGGTATAAGTTTTTTATGTCTAGGATTTCTAGTTTTGTTTTGAAATGAAAAACCACTCATATTAATATCATTAAGATTCAGATCGTTACAACAAAATCAAAGAGACCAACGTTGAAAACAACTATCAGTAACCAACTAGTACTTTCAACCATACAATTAGTCTTATAAACGATCACCCCAGAAAGAGCATGCGCAATACAAATCGTTAATTATAACCACCAAACGGGTGCGACACAACAATCATTGATCATATAGATCTTTCTAACGACATGACATAATATCTAGCTAAATTGTCAATTCTTATTGTAGACCTAAAAGTAAAGACATCAACAAAATAAAGAGCAACATAAACAAACTTAACGTGAAAGTAAGACCATAAAAAAATAAAATAGTTGACAAATACTTCAAGTTTCTTCTTGCCAGGATTATTGAAGTATATCTTCCAAACCTTATCACCGTGGTCGCTCCAGAGCGGTGGTTCAAGAGCGGGGCGGAGCGTCGATATATATTATCAAATATTTGATATTATAAAAAACTATTTTCAAAAGTACGTACTATTGGTTATGTGTGATGGTTGTATTATTTAAAGTGATTGTCTCATTTTTAATTTTTTTTATTATTGTACGATTTGAATAAAAAATATTTATCCATAGAGTAATCATTTTTCTTTATTATCATACGTCTTATATTGGACTAGAGTAATCATTTTTTATAATTATGTGATCCAATTTGTAATTTTGTTTTATATTTGTACTTATATAAATATAATAATTCTTGCACAAAATAAATATGCTCCGTATTTGAAACTCGGATTAAAAGTGTACTGATTTGCCTATGATACTCCCGTGATTTGCCTATAATACAATACGTATGTGGATTAGTTCTCCTATAAAAAAATTAAGCAAGGACATTTATGCCAAATTGGGGTGCGCATAGCCATTTTGGAGGTGCACGAAGCAAACCCCTTTTGTAATCTCATGTTCCTAAATTAAATAACTTTTACTCCCTATATGATTAGCTCCGATCAGTTTCCGAAATTCGTGTCTCGAAATTAATCATTATTTCCTTTTTGTCATTTAATCGTTAGAACCAACTCCAACTCTCCAAGTGTACACATTTATGCTCAGGATCGGATTATTTTTCCTAGGCATAAATTAAGGTTTACCTTCCGGTTTAAGTACATGAATCTTTTCAACTTTTCCTTGGTTCCGAACACGTGACTTTTAAAAGTATTGAACAATAGAAGGAAACTAGTCAAAGAGTTCTTTTTGAAAAAGGGTGATGAAATTGACCAACTTAATCATAAATCAATAATGAAAGCAACAACTAAATTTAAATTTTCAAGACAACCGACTTCCAGATTGTGGAACTCTGTGAGGAAACTTCTATGTAGTGGCCAATGAATATCAGATATAAGTCACAAACAAACCGGAAATGTAGGAAGAAAGAGAATAATTATCAATGTATAAAGATTTAAAGCAGTCTCACTAAATAAACAAACAAATATAAGAGCAAGTTCTCATGTTGTCAATATCTCAAAGACAATACATAGGATGAAACAGAGAGGGACAATGAGAGATGCACATACAAGCACTATAAAGTCATTTCTCATTCAAGAAAACAAAATTTTGAACAGCTTAATCCCTTTTTCCTTACTCAAATGTCCCACCTTTCAAGGGTTTGACAACTATATTCACATATTTGTCAGGACAAGAAATAGCAAGAACATGATGAGACATACTTTACATACAAAACCAATTCTTTCGGTCTATAATTTGTCTATAGAGAAATGTTGCTCAAACAACTCCTTCAGCCAGTCAAATTAAAGTGGTCAAGGTTATTATCTAAGGACATATTTACACAACAAGACAATGCAAGATCGCACATTATTGCACATGATTATGAATTTGTTCAAGCAGCCACAAATCAAGGGTGGAATATCAAATTATGCATGCAATCTCAAAATAGTCCCAAGATGAATCCATTGGATAGCGAAGATGTAGATCGAATACAATACCTGACATAGTTATACAAGATTATTTTTACCATTTTGACTCGTTTTTTAAATAAACGGACTTGGTATGACTATAGACGTTTAAGTTATTACTTGGACTGAAGTTTTTTAATTTGATTTGTTCTGGTTTGGTCTGTTTAAGTAAGGTTTAATAGATGTGTAATATCTGTGCATTTCACAATTTTCGAAGTCTAGTCAAGTCTATTGAAATCTTAACCAAACCGGGCCCGACCCGGCCGTTTCACCTTTTTCATGACCGGAACCGCCCCCGGTTACCCCCTCAGGCCGGGCCGGTCCCGCACAGTAGCAAGCCGGGCCGGTTCCCGAACCGAGTCCATGCCTAGTTCGTCCTACTGTATTTATGTTTTTAGTATTGAATAGAAAAACTTTCCAATCCCAATAATATATTCAAAGAAAATTCGACTATCAATCACAGTAATCTGTGCAACCAACGGGAGAAAGAAAATGATTTTTTGTTTTTATTTGAGTAAAGGATTACATGTTCGGATGTGTCGAGCGAGGTATAATGTTTAGTCACAGTACAAGTCAGGAGAAATACAATGAGTTTCTCTTTTATTTTAGTCTTCCAATATGTTTTTGAAGAAGTATGTTCCCAAAACAAACCATACAAGAATGAGAAATGAAAACGAAAACAACGCAACAAAAAAAGGCCACCCGACCATAAAAATGCCCAAACAAGCTACAAACACGAAAGGGAAAAATGCCCTCACAACTGAGAGGAGGTTGACCCATCGCCCCTTCAGCAAAACAAGAGCCGCGACATTGATCATGTTCCAATTCATTGATCCCTTGTAGCACATCCTGTTCAAGCAGTTGGCAATGAAGGAGTGGCTGTTGCACGTGAAGAGGTTGTACGATTTGTGCTCGAATTGGCGGATGCCGGAGTGGATCGTGTCGTCCCAACTAATAGCTGTTCCAAACTCTGCATGCTTGTACCGATGAATGCACGAATGCCCAGCAAGGTTAGACGGGAAACAACACTGTTTGCACATTAAATTCCCTAATCAGTCATGTATGATTTCAATGCAATTACCATCAGGAAGCATTTTATTCACAAGTGGGAGAGTAAGAAATATACCATATCAGCAATTTATTCATTAGTCTCATTTGACCAACGTACATTTTGTTAATTTTGACAGGATACAATGTCATAAATCATGAATCACACCTATATATATTTGTTTGTTTGAGTAATTTTATCACACTTAAACTTGTTTGCAACAACAACAACATCCAAACCTTATTACCAAAAGAATTTGGGGTAAGCTAACTTAAACTTGTGTAATGAAATGAGAATACTTTTTTGTTTACAAAACTACATATAAATTAGCTATGTTGAATCAATTGGATTCTTGTTTTGGAACAGAAAAGCTATACGTAGATTAACATTTTCTCTTTTTTCAAACAAATATAATTATATATTAATACATGTGTTTTTATTCTAAAACGTCAAATGGTAAGCCAAGATCTTGTACATGAGTTTATATCATTATATGTAACATGTGTAAGATGACTTGACCCTTTGAGCTTAGTGGGATCTAATATCATGTTAAAACTCGGGTTGCATCTCAAAAGTTATCCAGAAAGGAGTAGTCTAAAGTTCTATACTTCAGTTTGTATAGTTTGGTGGTGTTGGATAGAATGACAGGAATGTGTATATCATCAAGGATCAGGCATTACACATCTAGTGATCACACTCATCATGCGGCTATGTATTAGCTTTACACACAATAAAAGAGTAAAGGGAAGGCGAGCCACACCACACCAGAAAAAACATAAAATGTATGTACCTGATCTCTGTCTAGTTGAAGGTATTTGGCCACAGCGCCATATGCGAAGTCGTTAACATTGATAAAGCCAGAACCCGTAAAGTCAATCACTGCCCCATCCTCCCTGCACAGCCCAACATGCCCAATAAAAGGAGCCAACCATGACACTACTGGAAGGGGAGTCCAAACCAAACAACATGGGAACTTTCCGTTCTTTGGATCTATTTCGTCCAAAGGCCACAACGCACCTTTCATCCCTTGGACGACATCTTTGTTCTCCACTCTGTAGGCAGACTCTACATCCATTAACAGAAAAGTCCTTCCCTAGAGTTTGAAATTAATGTTTAGTTCCCAGTCATGTTTGGCCTAATAATATAGGAAGCATTCAATTCCATTTTGTGTCCCATTGCTATAAGTTCCCTTTCACTTTTGATAATGCTCTCAATTCTTTACATTTTTGGTGCATAACAATGAATTTTTTACTATCTTCTGTCTGTATCACTAACCGGCCAATTTCCACAGAATTTTCAGAGCTGTTCTTTAGATAAGTGAGCAAAAGAACTCAAAGTGACAAGAAATGTAAAGTCATGTATCAAAAAGATAAAAATGAAATGAACTAATATTCGTAAGATAATAATTTTTGTTATAAAAGTTATAACTATAATTTATGCCTTAAAAGAGAGGAACTAACTTTGTGCTCAACCAAACTTGGATATACGTTATTCCATTTTGGGCAAGAAAGGGGCGGAAGCCATCACCCGCCCATGGTCATCAGATGTTTTGTGCTCAACTACACCAGTAACTTTAATTCAATCAGATGTTTTGCAGCAACGGGAAGTGCCCAATTGTAGCACAATTCAAAATATCTATGGGTGGAAATGCAAAAGTTTGTTAAATGGAAGGAAGTTAGATATATACGGTGAAATTTCCATATATATCAGCTAAACCTCAAAATCATTCCAATCAACCATCTAGATACAAGTCACACACTAAACCCACCTTACTTTTTAGATACAATAACAAAAACATAAAACTGCCTTCCAAGATACCTAATGGGATAAGTTATGAAACTTCAACAAGCTCAAAAAATAGGTATTAATCCCAAAGTCCTTTTTTCTTTTAACCATCTGAACTAAAGCGGCCTCCAAGCTTGCTAACAAGCTTCTTAAGGTTCTTAGAAGAGACTAATTAAGCAATGTATACCCAGAGCTCAGAAAATACTCCGTAAAAAACATTTTGCTTAAATTTGTTTTTTTAAGTAAACTTCTCACTTCTCTGCAGCCATAAAGAAATACCCAAAAAAAGAACTTGAACAATTCAGACAATTCAGTGAATGAATGGTAGAAGGGACACAGGGGATTCAAAACCCAGATGCCAAAATCAAATCTTTGTACAAATCCAAGCAAGAAGGAAGCACATTACGTACTTAAAGAAAATAAAAATGCGAAATTGAGAAGACCTGAAGAGAAATGGCAGGTGATTGGTGTTTGGATGTGGAGTGGAAGATTTGGGAAATAATAAACAACCAGAGAAGGCGGTTTCAAGTGTGTTAATGTTGAAGGTGTGGGCTGCTGGTTTTGTTGGAAGTTTTTTTTTTCTGCGTACGCTCTGATAATTTTTCTGAAACTTTTGGAAAAGAGGGCGGGCGGATAAAGATGCATGAACGTTACACACGCGGACTGGTCAACTGACCCACCACCTTTCTTGGGGTCTGTTCGTCGACCTATGTAAGACGTGCGTTTGTTTTCTAAGATTATAAAGTTCGTGCCTTGTCACCCCAACTATATTTGTTTATCCTATACTTTTTTATTTGAGTTTTGACGGAGGTACCCCATTTTGAAATTATATCCTACAACTGGTTGTATCTTGAGCATGGTACAGCCGGGTATTTTTGTAATATATTGGTGTTGGCAGCCGTTGTTGTTACAGGAGAAGGGAACGGTGAAAGAGCCGAGTCGGTCGTTTCCTGCTGTGGATCAAATTTTGCTACGCCTGAAACTCCGAAGAGCTCTGCACCGCCATCCATTCTGATTACTTTTTCTTTTTGCTTTTTGCTTTGTGCACAACCGTCATCTAGTTTTGTCTTTTTGCTTTGACTATTTCTTTACTTTTACCTAGCTAGTTGATTTTACTTTATTTTGTTTAGTCTTTTTATTTACTTCTTTTCGTTTGTTTATTTGTTGATTACTTTTTTTTTTATATTATACCAAGCACATTAGAAATGAATTCTACCTTAAAATCAAATGAGTAAACGCCTAAAAAATGAACATACACAAATGAGCTTTTGAATTTTTGAATACTCATTTTGTAAATTATGTATGTTCATTAAGTATCTCTGCTATGCTCATTTTTAAAATGTTTTAGCAATGCACATTTCAAAAATCCCATATTACATTGGATTTATATAATAGTTGATTATAGACACGAGACCACAAATCATGATACTCAAACGCAGATTCTAATACTCAATAACGGGGATTTGATGCTTGCCGAAAATAGAGGAGTTTTGATGTTGAATGAAAATGTTGTGATGTTCAACTAGCAAAGCAACTAACAAATTCATTAATACTCATGTTGTAAGTTACATATGCTCATCTGATACTGATCTTATGCTCATTTCCTAAATGTCATATCAATGCATTTTTAAAAGTATTATTTTATGATAGACTCTTAATACTCAACATAATAGGTTCGATGCTCATTAAAAGTTCATTAATGCTCATTCACAAGAAACTATGATTTTCATCTCAATAGCAGATGTTTGATGCTCAATTAAAATGTCGTGATGTTCAACTAACAAACCTTATGATAAAAAATAACAAAAAGAAAGTGAATTACAAATTATGCAGCAGAGATTACGATTCTGAATATTAGACTCCTAATACTCAACAGAGTAGGTTGGTTGCTCATTAAAGGTTCAATATTACTCATTCTCCAGAAGTCGTGACTTTGATCTCAATAGTGGAGGTTTGATACTCAATTAAAATGTCATGATGTTCAACTAACAAACTTTACGATTTTCATATCAATGTGCCCTTTCTAAGTTATGTATGCTCATTTGATACTGATGATATGCTCATTTTTTAAATGTCATATCAATGCATATTTCAAAAGTATCGTATTACATTAGAATCACATATTTAAATTAATAGGAGTAGATAATAGATATAATGTAATTAGTTTTTATAAAAGAAAATAATAGAAAAAGAAAAAAATAGAAGATATGAAGCAGAAATTGTTATACTCATTGTTAACCTCTTAATGCTCAATCAAATAGGCTAGATGCTCACTAAAATTACAATATTGCTCATTTAGCGTAAACCGTGATTTTTCACTTAAATTACAAAAGTGCCACCGGAAAAAAATGGTCTGTACTGCTTATTGGGTTGTCTTCCTAATTGGGCCGGATGTATATACATCCGGTTGTACGATATAGGCCCTCCCATTTTGGGTATCGGGTATCCCATTTGTACCCACTTATTATGTAGTTCACAAAATCCCAACCCAACAAAATAATTTCTTACTTTAATTCATTGCCTTTGTGAACCACAAAAATAGGGAAGAGTATAAAATGAGGTACAAAATGGGGTAACTTTAGAATTTTCCTTTTTTTTTAATCGATTTCCCAAATTTCGGTGCATATGAAATGTCCTTTAAAGCTTTTCAATTTGATTACAGTTAACCCTTCCTCAAGTATTAATTTCGAAGGACGAATCATGCACGATTTACACCTTTTAGGCTTTTACTGTGAGAATACTTCCCCTATGAAACACAGATAATTCACTAGAGTGTCGTATTGGCGTATCGGAAACGTTCTCATATCCGATACTCTAGGATACTCGTACCGTACGTTTCCAAGTCCTATCTGAATTTTTTAAAAGTTTCCATTTTTTGGTAATTATTTTAAATTTTCGGATACTTGTATCCTGACGGATACTCGTATCAACTTTTTCAAAAAAATCCAATTTTTTTTTAGAAAACATCCAAAATTTACATAATAAAATTCTTTAAAAATGATAAACTGAAAATAATTTTTACTTTGCTTTTATGTGGTACACAACTAATTGGCTTATTCTTAATTCACTCATCCTCCTATCTCTAATTCTAATTATTCTTGAAAATTAATAGCTTCAACATAAATATGTATTAGAACTTTTAAAATATTGTTTTCTATCTTCATTATTCTAGAACTTTGAGTACTTATACTTTTCATTTCTAAACTGCAGTTGTTTGACTTATTTCTCATTTTAAATTAATGACTTATTGACTATATTTATATTTCGAGATACATTAGTGTATATGAGATAAAATATAAACTTATTTCTAAGTATTTTGTGAATGTAAAATGTTTCAATGCCATGAACGAGTAGACGTCACAGGATGATATATGTTTATTTAAAAAAAATGGCATTTTTAATATTTATAAATACACCCCTATAACTTTTAATATTTATAAATACACCCCCATAACTTTTAATATTTATAAATATGGCCCCGTATCCGTATCCTACTTTTTTTTTTGTAGTATCCCCGTACCCGTTTCCGCGTTTCCGCGTATCCGTATCGGTGCCGCACAAATTTACTCCTTTCATTATCATTATATTCGCACTCTGCCGTTGATCTTCTACTTCATGACAATAGGAATAAATGAGAATGATAGAGAACAAAAATTTGATCAAGTATAATCTCAATAGTGGCTTACTATTTTAATAAATTATATTTGTACAAAAGCATAGAATCATGATACGAAAATATCTTTTATATATAGAGTTTAGGGTATTGTGGATCATTGCGCTTACCGCTACACTAAAAGCAATCGCTAATAGTGTAGCACGCCCTTCCCCTTTTACAGAACAGGCAAAGCGCCACGCGGTTCGATTGCACCGGCAGGCTGGCAGATTGCTGACCGCAGACCCGCGGCAGGGCCAACAGGTATATATATTTTATTTAGCAGAAATTTATTTAGTTTTTTTCATTAGGTTACGTTTGGGTAAGAGCATTAACTATGATTTTGGAATTCCAGAATTAAATTCATCAATGAAAGAATGGCATGAGTATTACTTCTCAACTTCTCTTGGATAAAAATATGACCATTTTTTTAAATACCACAAAAGTGACCCGGCCCGCTGCTCTTCCCCTTTTACCGTATCGCTTAGTCGCATCTTCTCTATCTCTTCCGCCCTGCATACTTCATCTTCTCCATCTCTTCCGTTCTAAGCCTTCATCGCAATCCGCCATCAGCTTCGCCTAACTTCTCTCATGTCTTCACTGACCGCGCCTCCG